CTACTACTACTACTACGAGTACTGCTACTACGACGACGATATAATGCTACGACTGTACTACGACGACTAACTAACTTTACTTATGCTACTACTGCTACTGCTACTTCTCCCCTCCTGCTCCTGCTGCAGCTACTGCTACAAACTACTACCACCACCACCACAACTACTACTCTACTGCTGCTGCTGCTGATACTACTACTACTGCAGCATTTCCCGTCCGAGCGTACTAACTACTACTGCAGCTGCTGCTGCTGCTGCTGCTGTACGAGTTGCCACCACCACTACCGCTACAATTTCTACTATGATGCAGAACAGTCTGCCTGCACTTTGGACTGCACCATGAAGTCAATCTGGTTGAGAAGCTCCTGCTGTCGTGCCTGCAGCGCAGCGTTCAAACTTGAACCACTTAGAACATATTGGGCAAATCTAGCATAGTCCACAACAGCTTACCACACCGTCCCCTGTGATCGAGGGCTTGAGATTACCAGCTGATTCCTCTGGCTTGCAGACACTCTCATCGCGATGCGCTGTGTGAAAATGCTCACAAGTCAACGGCAGAAACTTGAGCATGCCCGCAATGAAATTACCCCTACCTGGAGCGCTTGGATGCGCTCGGAGACAGCTGCTGCAACCTGTCGCACTGTCCTTGATGCCCTCTTGACGTGGATCTCCAGCGATGTTCAACACAGAGGCAAACGCAAAGAAAAAGAAGCTGACAACACTGCCGTGACTAAGATTCGGCCACATTCTCACACAAGTGGCTACGTTGCAGCATGTGCCGAGAAGCAGCAGTCCTTGTGATAAACACAACTGTTCTGTAGTCATGTAATCCACCTCGTTCCGGACCTTCTCCGCCTCGTTGTGGGTCTCTGCAATTACACGCCTGGCTGACGTGGGGCATCGGCTTGCGATTGCAAAACGAGCGCAATCCAACTGCAAGGGGACTTGACGGACACACCCCGCCAAATCTCGGTCCTACATGTCCTACTTCGGAATCGGAAGGAGTCCTCAGTCCGTGCCGCACTCTATCTCAGGTAGACTGACTGCTGCTCTAGAACCACTCCCCGCGCCTCACCACTTCATCGGCACTTTCCGCCGTGCAGTAGAGCCCATCGATGCCTGACTTGACTACTCTAGAGCCGTGGTTATTGGTCTATGTCTGCTTGCACAATGGCCGCTTCAGCCAAGTCGCGTCGAGCCATCGCCACTGTGGGCGAGGGGAGTGAGGGTCCCTGAGAAAGCGCAGCTCCGATTTCTACCAAGAGCATCCGACACGAGTTGGTACGGTACCTTCAGTTGACATACCAGTAGCTGCCTAAGCTGTGATATCAGTGATATCTACTTAGTGCACCGCCCAAGTGCCCTGGAGCTCCGAGCAAGCCTCAACATGCCTCAATTGATTTGAGGCGCGGGCAGAAGCCGTCGAAGGCTCACGACTCCCAGTCCCACAACCCCCTAAAAAGGCCCTAAAGCTCTGCTGGCCGGAGGTCATCAAGCTTTCACATTCTCTGCAAGCAATCCTGTCGCAGCTTGCACAACCCTGACAACACAGGCGCACAGAAGCAGATTTGAAGAGCCACTCGGGCTTGTGGATGGACACATCAGCATATTAGGTTCTATTAGGTTCTAAAGTAGACAAACGGCACAGGATAGCACATGTCCCGCCGACTTCCTTGCGACGAATCCGCCAGCCTCTGCCACGGCTCGTCCTGCAGCCTCGCACGGATGGGAGAGCCCGTGCTAACCAATGCTTTAGAGGCCG